TCCGAGTGTTGACTCCTGCCTCACTCCACACCAGCTCTGCAGTCGTGCTGAGGAGCTCCTGATGCTGCTCCTTTCTCTGCACCCAGGCCAGCAGCTCCGCCAAGGCAGGGCTGGAGGACTCACAGGTAGAGTGCAAGGGTTAATATCTACAGACCAGAATACTGCTGCAGCAGCAGAGAACATCAAAGAAATGCTATCCGAATAAAGTCTATATAGGCTCATAGATATAGACCTTTATTAGCTTACCAATATTTCTTTAATGCATTAAACAAAATAAGAAATTCAAAACTTGCTTTTCTCCTTTGCCACTCCTCCCCTCCCCCACCGCCCCAGGAAATGTCTTTCTGTTGTCATCTCTGGCATGTCTGTCCACCTTGGCTATGAAGAAATGCCAACTAAAGGTAAAACACACCTTGCTGGTGGCTCTCAAAAGACCTTTCATACCACGATCTCTGATTTCTTCATGGAAATTCCTTTTGTGTGTGTACCATCAAATTTCGCCTTTTGGTATCATTCCCAAGTCCTTCTGAAAAACAGACTATGTTTCCTTTTTTGTTTCTTTTTTAAGTGACCGATAGTAAGGAAACATCTTACTCACCTCCCTTGCTCCCCTCCCGACTACAAGCCAGAACCATGCCCAGAAGTTCCCCATGTCCTTATCTGTGCTTAAGCCGGCCGTGCAAACAGGTCTTCATCCCCTCTGGAAGGTGCTCTCGTGGGTTTCAGAGTCGCCATCCTCTCGCAGCAACTCTCTCCTTCAGGATCTGGGGTGCGTTGTTTTCAGCCTCCATGGAGTGGTTCAGGGAAACATGCGCCATGTTACACTGGGTCATGGTGGGGTCTAGGGAGGCACACGTCCCAAGAGAGTGACTTCTCTGCACTCCTTCATAGAAGAACCCTGTAGCACAACAGTCCTGGTTTGGCTCCAAGCACCTCCCATGAATCTGTGCTTGGTCAGGCAGGACCCCGCATAGCTCCATCAGCTCTACCGGGGCCCACTCAGCCCCATGATCTCTCTTCTTACACCCTTTCCTCCTGCATGGATGCTTCCTCCTCTCTCTGCCTGAATGGCCTCTACTCTACTACAGACTACGTGTCTGAACCCTCACTACAACTGCCTGCATGGTGGGATCTGCTTCTTCCTTACTACACCAGGCCTCATGGCAGAATCCCCTTGTCTTTCAGACCCCCGTATTTTAATGCTTGGCCTGGGACTTCCTACATGACCTCATATCTGGCCCCTCCTATGATGAGCTACTTTTGCCAGTTCCCCCATATCTTTTACCTTCTTTTGACTGCCATCCTTAGTCAGGGCAAGAGTTCCTGTGATGCAGGGGCACCCAGCTCCTGCCTCTTCTGCAGACACTATATAAGCTCCCCCAGCTACGTCACGAGTCCCTGAATGTTCCCAAAGTTGGGTATCCTTTAGCCTGGGGCAGCAGCACAGCTATTAACTTGCCATGGTTATGCAATGTATCTTAAATTTCATTCAGTCCACTTCCTTCTTCCCCCAATTGAGGGACCCCCACTTTGCAACCTATTACAGAACTATGTTACTTTGGTGAGTCAAAATGTGAATTGTGCTGAGAGCATGGTATGCCTGACAGAACCCCTCACGTGAAAGTACCCTATCTGACCCCAGCACCTGAATTTCAGAGTAGCCTTGTCCTTTTCACCCACTTATGACACACTGTCCAGAAGTCACATGTTAATGGCATTTATACAAAAGAAAGCATTTACTACAACAGTTTCTCTCAAATGTGGAGATTCAAAAAGGTTTTGCCCAGGATACATTGCTGGAGAATGATATCATTGCTGGGAAATTCCATGGAATGGAGATAAAAGAAAGATAAATAGAAACTTACTGAATTTCTAGAGATATTCCCTGAGTCAGGACTTTCTCTAATTGGCTTTAAAAGAATTTGAATATGAATGACAGTATTCAAGGGAATCAGTGCTACTGTTAAAAAAAGAAGAAAAATAAATAAATAAATAAATAAAAGAGTGGGAGGGAGAAGAGGAGGGGCAGAGAACCCCCAGAGTCCTACAGAGTCACAGTCACAAGCAGTCCATCTGAATTCCTGTCTGGGAGTCCCCTTGAATCAAATGACCTCTCTGGGCAATATTAACCACAGGCCAAACTGGAAAATGACAAGAGTTGTCCAGGGGAACAGTGTCCACAGTTACACACCTTGGGAATAAAGAGCCGAGCCTGCACTCCTCGGTGCTGGTTCATCTCCTTCCTGTCACACCCACACCAACCCAGGTCAGACGCTCGCAGGCCCTCCAGCTGCTCTGGCCAGCTCCAGTCTGTCCCAGCGCCAGTCCTCCAGTCCGTGAAACGCGGAGGCTGCTGTCTACAATGCGGGTGTGTGGGCGTGCTTGGAGCAGGGGGCCTGCAGAGATGGCTCCTCAGTGTACGACACTCCCAACCAGAGTTTGGGGTCATTGTGTCGAGGGGCACAGAACTCGTGCCCTTCCTATGAACAAACACCCTACATGTGAAAAATAAAAAATAATTAAAAATATATAAATAAATAAATAAAATAAAATAAAACGCAGGTGTGGCCACATCCCTCCCAGCTTTAAATGCCCACTGCCATCAATTCCTTTTTTTGTTGTGGTAAAAAAAAAAAAAAACATAACATGAAATTTCACTATCTTGACCATTTTTAAGGTACAGTACATTAGTGGTAACTATATGCCCACTGTTGGGAAACAGTTATTTGGAACTTTCTCATCTTGTAAAACCAAAACTCTACATCCATGAAACCCACTCCCCATTTCCCCCTATCCTCCATTTACTGTGTTTCTGTGAGTTTGACAAGATACAGCATAGGTGGACTCATGCAGCGTGTCTGTCCTCTTGTGACTGTCTTATCTCACCTAGCATAATGTCCTCAAGATTTATCAATGTTGTGGCACATGACAGTATTTCCTTCCCTTTAAGACTGAATAATATCCCATTGTATGTGTTTACCACATTTTTCTTGGCCATTCATCCATTAAGGGACATCTGGGTTGCTTCTATACTTGGCTATTACGAACAATGCTGCTAACATCATAGGTATGCAAACACCTCTTCATGACCTGCTTTTGCCCTAGCCAGTGCGTCTCAGCGGTTCAGAGAGTCGTCCTGTAACTGAAAGTTGCCCGCTGGATTCCCGGTGAAGGTAACATAGCTGGGTTGTGGGTTCATTCCCTGGGTGCCCCAGTCCTGGTGCACACGGGAGGCCACCGCTCAATGCTGCCTCCCTCAACATTCTCTCTCTCCCTTTCTTGCTAAAAAGCAATGGAAAAAAATATCAGGTGACAATACCAAAAAAAGCTTGCTTTCAATTCTTTGGATAAATACCAAGAAGTGGGATTGCTGGATCATATGGAAATTCTATTTTTAATTTCTTGAGGAATTGCTACACAGTTCTCTATAGTGGCTGCACAAGGACTCCAAATTTTCCACATCCTCACCAAAACATTATCATCATTATTATTATCATTATTATTTTATACTGGCCATACCTGGGCGATTTGTGAAACAGAGCTCCTTTTCATGTTTGCTAGCCACATGTATGTCTTCTTTGGAGAAATGTCTGTTTGGGTCCATTTTCATTTCTCAGATGGGTTTTTGTTATTCTGTCGCTGAGTTGCTGTTTATCATTCTTAAGCATGGTCCACACCCTTCAAGATCTGGTCGTAAGCCTCATTTCCCTCCTCTGCTTACCTTACACACTTCTCTTTGGCAAGCTCAGTTCCATGAGGTTCCCTAACGGAGCAGCCACACTATTACATCTGCATGTGTTGTTCCTGACAGGTGCTTCCCTTCCTACTCTAGACACACCCTGCCTGCTGGAGAAAAATCTGCTTTCGCCAGAAAAAAAAATACCTTTGAAAAGCCTTCTCTCACTATGTCCTTTAGCCCACCACAAACAGAATTGAGTTCTCCCTCTTTTACACCATCCATCTATCCTGTGTGCAGGGCTCACCACGTCGGTTTGTGATTTTTGTTATCATCGGCCTCTCCCACCAGACCACAAGCTCCTTCAGATCAGACCCAATGCTTTATTGAGTATTCAAACTCCGATGCCAAACACAGAGACCGCCACATAATCTGTATTGTTAAATATCTTCTGAAGGAAGGGAGGGGAGGAGGAAGAAAGTCTGGTGGGCAGGTGAGCAAGCAGGCACAAAGGGAAAACATACATTCAGGCTATTCCTCCGTGCCCTGCTCCAACTCCCTGTGTGGCCTAGTTCTCTCAGCACAGTCTAGAGAACCCTGAACCCACCTCAACTTCCCAAAGCTGCAATGGCTTAGTCCTCACAAAGGTCACACAATAGTTCTATCTGCAGCATTCCAAATGAGAGTTTAGACTCAAAGACTGCAAACAAGTGGTCCAGTGCAGCCAAGCAAATACCCCGATCAAGTCTTGGGGCACTGGGAAAACTATCGTTTATCAAGCATATACTCCATGCCAGCCAACATGCGATGGCCTTCAGATTTGTTATCGCAATTCAACCCTCTTTCAAGTCCTTTGAGAGAAGGGTTATTATTCCCACTTTCCACATGAGGAAAACAAGACCCAACCAGGATATTAACCAAGATTTTTTTAATGCTAAGGCCACACTTTCATTATTGTATCATGACACTATAAAATTTACAATGGATGTGGTCCATTGTTTTGATAATTATTTATTAGGTACCAGCTATATGGTTCATAGGCTTGTCATTTATACCTGGGAGATACCTTAGAGGATATCTAGTCTAATTCCCTTCATTTACAAATGAGGAAGCCGACAACTTGACATGATTTACAAACTGTGCAGTGAATAGAATGGTACAATCAGGCTCTGCAGAAACATTCTTCTATTTGGTTTTTAAGTAGGTTTTTTTCCCTAAATGTAAAAGCAATAAAGCTCAGTGTTCAAATTGAAAGTTAAATAAACAGGAAAGTTAAAATAATCCATAATTCAACTCACAGACTTGGGGAGGGGAGAGGGAGGGGCTGGGAGGGGGTAGGGAAAGGGAGTAAAAACAGGAACAACTATAATAGCATAAACAATAAAATTAAATAAATTTTAAAAATCCATAATTCATATTCTGATAAGCCTAACACTTATTAGTAGACACGGGTTTAGACTTGGTTCATTTGTAAACTCATTCTAGGCCTTAGAAAACAGATGCATTTATTAAGAGAATGGCTATATATGTATATACACATGTACATATATAATTAGTTGATATTATTATATTCTTTATAAAAGATAGTAGGTATGTCTCTCACTGAATCTTATATTTTCTTATTTTATTAAACATTTTAACAAATATTCTTAATTAGTAGAAAGTATCTGTACCATGATCATAAAAGCAATACTTCCTCACTGAGAAAAAAATTTTAAAAATATACATAATTCCAAAGTAAAAACCACCATTAACACTTTGGGTTTTTGGAGGGAAGAGTGTCTCCTTGGATCTTCTTGTGTGTGTATGTAACCAAGACAAATAGCACAGACATGTAAAACCCTTGACTGACAAATTGTTTTTCAGAAAGTCTATTCGTATTTAAATTAACAGTATCAGTAAATGAGATTGTTCCTCTCACAATATCCTCCCCAACTTTAAATATTATCTTTTAAAAATTTTGTCAATTTTATAGTGGGAAATGGTTTTGAATATGAATTTATTTTAAAAAATTAATTGTGAAAATCATTACTTACAATTTTTATTTTATGAAGCAAATAAGATTAAATATAATGTATGAAGAGCTCTATATATACGAACTCTAGTTTGTATCATGCCTATCTAGACTACTTTAAACCAAGGTAACAATGTCTTGAAAACAGTTTTGCAAAACTGCATTACATTAAATGGAACAGAAAGAGTAAGAAGGTACCAGGTAGGGTGGGTCCAAGAGCCTCAAGTAAGACTTCTGTGGAAGAGATGACGGCAGCATCTCTCTGTAATTTGTTTGTTTCTTTCTTTCCTACTCTGTTCCAAGAGGGAAGGCAAATAATACATCGATATATCAGCACAATGCAAACAGTCAGACCTCACCTGCAACCAGAATTTCTTAAACGTTTTACCTGCTATATTTTAAAGCCACCAATGATTTGAAGGGACATACATCAAAGTCACAATTCACAGAACACTGGAGCGAGAAATCTAAACACCTTCAGAAAAAGGTGTTTAAGAAAGGTTTAATTTCCAGTCCAGTTACTACCTTCCTAAGCCTCCCAGCACTGCTGTGTATGCTGTCCCTTTGCACCTGAATCTTTTTCAACAAATATTTATGCCTGTTAAATTTCTGGTAGGAGTCACATGCCATTGTTGACCCTCATATTGTGGCTACATGGTCTGTCGAAGAAGGAGGGGAATCACATTTGCAGGATGTGCAGTGTTTGGTGTCAGTGTTCAGAGTTCAGAGCCCTGGGAGGGTCCTTTGGCCCTCCCGAGAGGAGGCCCTGCTGGCTTGTGGTGGCAGCGTGCACAGCTACCCCTGACATCTCTAGATAACTATGTGAGATAAACCCTCAAGAAGGAGCAAGAGTGAAGTGGAAATGTTTGGACTGTGTTCATAAATATCAAGACATACGGGAAATGAATGCAAAAGTTTGGAATCTATTACAGCCTATGAATGCAATATGATGCTGTCATTATTGTTGCCATCAGAAAAATGAAATCCCTTCATACTGAATGTCTTCTCTGTTACTCGTCAGTGATTAATGCTATCATTGTTCCGGGGCCTTGTGTTAAGAATGCATGACAATCATGATAATGGAGGCATGGAATTCAAACTCTTTCTTCTGACATTCAAGGCCTTATATAACATTGACCTAGCCAACGGTTGGAAGCTTGATCTCTCCCTTATGCAAAGCTTTGTTCCAGGAAAACGAAGTTTCGAGTTACTCGCTTCCCTCCCTAACCCCCTGCTCAGTTAGTGCCCTCAGGTCATCTGGAAAGCCCTTTTTACCAAGCTGCCTGGCAGTTCTGCCCATTGAGGATCATCTTAAATGCCACCTCCCCCATAATATTTCTCTCCTGTGAACTTTTTTCTCGACTCTGACAAAGGTTCTCTGGAGGCAGAAGCTACACACCTTACACAATATGAATGACAGAGACCTCAAGCTTGTTCCTCTCCTTCCCCAAGTGTAAAGTTGTTGCAGGAAATTACTACCCTGCTAGGGACTACATAGGCCAGTAATATGTCATATACCCAGGCGTGCCCAAGTAACTTGTTCTTACGGGTTGCATGTAAGTGGAAGTGAAGGGTGTCACCTCTGGTCTGGGCATTTTAAGAAGCATGCGTCGCCTTCTTCACTCTTCTACTTCTTTGGCAGCTTGAGGAAGAAGATTCTGCCAAGCAAGAGAGCCTGGCAGGAGCCCAAGATGGAAGGAGGCAAACCTCTGGATGACCAGGTGGAACAGAGTTGCCTGCTGACCTGGAACAGAACAGCTGAGAAGGTAAGTAAGCGTGAACTTAGTTTCCAATGGGTTAAACCACCGAACTCTGACATTTTATTTCTTAGACAGAGTCGCTTCCCTGACTGATACTGCTTGGTATACTTTAGTTTTTGGCTCATTCCATTTCACACAGCAGTAGCTCCAAAAGTATTTGATAAATTACTCTGAAAATTCAGAGACAAACATGAAGAAATATAAATTAGGTTATACTTTAAAACATAGTTTGAGATATCTGGTGGCACCAAAATGTCCTCTGAACACTATTTTCTTAAAAATACCACCCCTACCCCAAGTCATTTGTTTTATATGATAAGTACTTACGCTTTGAAGTCCGTTGTCACTTTGTTCTTGGCAAAGAGAAAATAAGATGTTTTGATAACTGACAGCATTCTGGTTGAATGTGGCTGCCAAGTTTTCTTCTGGTTAAATGAGCCAGATGGCATAACTGTGAACAAATAATGACAAAATGGAAGATATTCCTGTCAGATAATTGGGTCGGATTTTCAAATAAGACATACGCAGTGGCTAGAGGCCCTTGGTCAATAGCACTTTTGTTCATACTCTAGTTAGACTTCCATTGTAAAACGATGATGTTATTATTGCGGTATTATTTCTTAGGTTGAGCTGAGTCATAAAAAAGGGAGGTATTTATTAGCTCTGCCCAAAATGTCATCAAGACAAAATACGATTGGGTCAGCATCCCTCCAAAGCAAACATCAGTCTAATTCACTGTGACAGGACACTGCATTACAAAACCAGAGTGCCAACTCCAGGAGCACGAGGAAGGTAATGAGGTTACCCCAACTTTGGCATACAGCTTTCCTTGGGACGACTCCTTAAGTCTCCTCTCAGTGTGCTCCTTTTTCACCTTCCTTCGCCCATTTGATTTCTCCTCCATCTCAATAAGCGAGTAGCCCATGGAGCCCTGTCTCTGTTCAGAGACATTTTCATATTATTTATCTTTAGGCCTAGATTGTTTGATTCACTCGTCTAGCATACACTGTTCCATCAGATGATTTCCCACAAAGACGTTAATAAACATGTATACATTTGTTTTTGATAATTTTTCCAAAATTTTTTTTCCTAAAACTGAAGTTGAACCCATACTCTCTGACAGCAAATGGACTAAGAGACCCACTTTTGGAGGCCCTTTAGTGGCTCATAAAAATCAGTTTATTGAGTCATAACCCGAATTTGCAAAAATTAAATAAAACAGAATAAATACATGTGTATCAGAAGGTGTTATACTTAGTGGTGGGTAAACATTCATTCGGCAAACTTCCATTTAAGTTACTTATACTTGGCACATACTATGAGGCAAAATAAAATATATTTCAGTGTGCATTGAAGTTTTTCATTGTGAGCCACAAAGATGAGTTATCTAGTTATTTACTTAGATTTCTAATTTCTTTCAATACTATTTTGCAGCTTTTATTGTACAAATTCTACACTTCTTTCATTAAATTTATCCAAAAATATTTTGCCATTTTTGGTGTTGTAAAAAAATAGTTTTATTAATTTCATTTTGGATTATTCACTAGTGTAGAAATACAATCAGCTTTTGTATACTAACTTTGTATCCTGCAAACTTGCTGAACTTGTTTATTAGTTAATAGTGTGTGTGTGTGTGTGTGTGTGTGTGAGAGAGAGAGAGAGAGAGAGAGAGAGAGAGAGAGAGAGAGGGAGAGGGAGGGAAGGGGGAGAGAGGGAGGGAGAGAGGGAGGGAAGGAAGCGGAGAGAGAGAGACCTCAGAACTTTCTGTATACAAGATCATGTCGGGCCAAGATGGAGGTGTAGGTAGATATACTTCACTTCCTTGTACAACCAAAAGAAGAATAACAACCAAGTTAAAAACAAAAACCAACCAGAAACTGCCAGAAAATTGAACTGTATGGAAGTCCGACAACCAAGGAGTTCAAGAAACATTCCCAAATTGGTAGAAGGGGTGGCAAGGACACAAGACATGGTGGTGGCTAGCAGATAGGGCCATCCCACATTGGTGGGTCGATAAACCAGAAGGAACAACTGGGGAGGGAGACGGACCACACAACCCAGGGTTCCAGCACAGGAAACAAAAGCCTAAAAACCTCTGGATGTAAAATTCTGTGGGGGTTGTGGCAGCAGGAGAAACTCCTAGCCTCACAGGAAAGTTTGCTGGAGAGACCCACAGGGTCCTAGAAGATACACAAAAGCACCCACCAAGGAATCCACACCAGAAGGGTCTGATTTGCTTATAGGTAGCAGGGGAAGTGACTGAAAGCCAGCACAGAGCAGAGTAAGCAGCACTATTCCCTCTCTGACCCCTCCCTTACATACAGCACCACAACTCAGAAAAGTGGGTTACCCTGCCCTGGCAAATACCTAAAGCTCTGCCTCTTATAATGTAACAGGAGACAAAGAAATATGGCCCAAATGAAAGAACAGATCAAAACTCCAGAAAAAGAGCTAAGCAACAAGGAGGTAGCCAACCTATCAGACACAGAGTTCAAAACACTGGTAATCACAGAAATGATTGAGTATGGTCACAAAATAGAGGAAAAAGTGAAGGCTACACAAAGTGAAATAAAAGAAAATATACAGGGAACCAACAGTGAAGGGAAGGAAACCAAGACTTAAATCAAAGATTTGGACCAGAAGGATAAAATAAACATTCAACCAGAACATAATGAAGAAACAAGAATTCAAAAAAAATGAGGAGAGGCTAAGGAACCTCTGGGACAACTTTAAATATTCCAACATCCAAATCATGGGGGTGCCAGAAGGAGAAAAGAGCAAGAAATCGAAAACTTATTTGAAAAAACAATGAAGGCCCTGGCTGGCGTAGCTCAGTGGATTGAGCATGGGCTGCGAACCAAAGTGTTGCAGGTTCGATTCCCAGTCAGGGTACATGCCTGGTTGCAGGCCATGACCCCCAGCAACCGCACATTGATGTTTCTCTCTCTCTCTTTTTCCCTCCCTTCCCTCTCTAAAAATAAATAAATAAAATCTTTTAAAATTTTTCAAGAAAAAAAGAAAAGAAAAAACAATGAAGGAAAACTTCCCCAATCTGGTGAAGGAACTAGACATGTAAGTCCAGGAAGCTCAAAGAGTCCCAAAGAAGGTGGATCCAAGGAGAAACACATCAAGACACATTATAATTAAATTACCCAAGATTAAAGATAAGGAGAGACTCTTAAAAGCAGCAAGAGAAAAGGAGAGAGTTACCACAAAGGAGTTTCCATTAGACTATCAGCTGATTTCTCAAAAGAAATCTTATAGGCAAGAAGGGGCTTAGAGGAAAGAAGTATTCCAAGTCATGAAAGGCAAGGACCTACAACCCAGATTACTCTATCCAGCAAAGCTATCATGTAGAATGGAAGGGCAGATAAAGTGCTTTGCAGATAAGGTCAAGTTAAAGGAGTTCATCATCACCAATCCCTTATTATATGAAATGTTAAAGGGACTTATCTAAGAAAAAGAAGATGATCAAAATTATGAACAGTAAAATAACAACAAACTCATAACTATCAACAACTGAATGTTAAACACAAAAACAAAAGCAAACTAAGCAAACAACCAGAACAGGAACAGAACCACAGAAATGGAGATCACATGGAGGCTTATCAGCAGGGAGGGAGTGAGGGGAGAATCAGGGGAAAAGGTACAGGGAATAAGAAGCATAGTTGGTAGGTATAAAATAGACAGGGGGAAGTTAAGAACAGTATAGGAAATGGAGAAGCCGAAGAACTTATATGTATGACCCATGGACTTGAACTAAGCAGGGGAATGCTGGGGGGATGGGTGGTACAGGGTGGAGGGGGAGAAAGGGGAGAAAAAAATTGGGACAACTGTAATAGCATAATCAATAAAATATACTTTTAAAAATAGATCATGTCATTGACAAATATACATTTTCCTTTCAAATCTGAATGCCCTTTTCTTTTTCTTGCCCTGGCTGGAAACTACAGTCCAATACAAAATGAAAGTGGTGGAAGCAGACATCCTTGTTCTGCTGTAAGGGAGAAAGCATTTAGTCTTTGACTACTAAGTATGGTGTTTTGTTTCATTTTGTTTTGATAGATGCCCTTTATCAGCTAAGACAGTTCCCTTCTATCCAAGTTTATTGGGGTTTTGTTGTTTTTAACCACCACATTGTTTTGTATTTTGTCATTCTTTTCTGTGTATATTCAGATCATGTTTTTGTGCTTTATTCTATTAATACGGTATTATATTGATTTATTTTTGGACACTAAGCCACCCTTGCTTTTTTCAGATAAATTCCACTTGGTCATCATGTATAATGCTCGTCTCTATACCATGCTTTTGTCTTAAAGGTAGAAGGTGGAAACCTTTGGTAGAGCTGTCCTAAGTGTGTGGCATGTCTGGCCTTTCCCTCCATATTCCTAGCACTTAGTATGGTCAAGGGTGATATCTTTATCGCTTAATGTTAATTCAGTTACTGTCTAGGGTCCTTTCCTGTAGTCCAAAGGACTCCCTTCAGTATTTCTTGTAGGACAGATCTACTAGTGAAAAATTACCTCAGTCTCTTTTATATTTATTTAAGTATCTCAATTTTGAAGGATGTTTTGCTGGGTATACAAATCTGGATTTTCTGTTTCAGTTCTTTGAATGTCACCCCACTGAACTACTGGCCTACACGGTGTCTGATGAGCAGTAAGCTCTCAGTTTCACTGGTGATCATTTGTACATGGTGTGTCATTTTTCTCTTGCTGATTTCAAGATTCTCTTCTCATCTTTAGCTTTAGACAGTGTGATTACACTGGAAATTCTTTTAAAATATTGGATGAGATACTTATTTGCAGTTGGGCTATAGTTCCTTCGATGTGTCTTATTGCCTCTCAGAATGTTCCATCAATGCTGTTGGGATCTACTCCTCTAATTCTGCCTAGAGTTATCCTCAGAAAATATGTATGAAGCAGGAAGAAGTGATGGCCATATTTCCCATTTTTTCATCCTTTTCTGTTTTGTGTCTCACTAATGGGAAATCTTTTCATTCTAAATTACCTCTGCTGAAATGTTATGCTGAGCTGTGACCCTTCTCTGATGACTTAAGGCCATGAGAAGCCTTGCATTGTATACATTGTTTTGTTAAATGCTTTCTTCCATTTAATCACCAAATGGGAATATTTTCCACTGTCTTCCAAAATACAGTTTATTAACAGCTGCATAGTAATTCATAGCTCCAAAAAGAAACTAATTTTGGTTATTTTGTTGGTTTCTGATTTTTCCCTATTATAAACAACACTGCAATGATTATTAACAACCTCCAGGAGGGCAGGTGCCATGTCTATTTTATTCTGTATTATGTTGCAGCATATGCCACAGAGCCTGCCTCATAAAAGACGTCAATAAATGTGTGTAGAATGAAAAAACCCTGGCTGGTGTGGTTCAGTGAATTCAGTGCCCACCTGTGAACCAAAGGGCCCCTGGTTCAATTCCCATTTAAGACACATGCATGGGTTGTGGACCAGGTCTCCAGCTGGAGGCACTTGAGAGGCAACCACACATTGATGTGTCTCTCCTTCTGTTCTTCCTCCCTTTCTCTAATAATAAATAAAATAAAAACTTTTTTAAAGAAATTATTTTTTAAGATTTTTATTTATTTATTTTTAGAGAGGGAAGGGAGGGAGAAAGAGAGAGAGAGAGAGAAACATCAATGTGTGGTTGCTGGGGGCCATGGCCTGCAACCCAGGCATGTGCCCTGACTGGGAACTGAACCTGTGACACTAATAAATTATTTTTTAAAATGTGTGTAGAATGAATAAGTGGTTGAATAACAAGCTCTTAAACTTTTATTTATGAATTTGATCTGTTCCTTTAAAAAATACCCAAAGGAGAAGCTGATGGATAGGTAGATCTGTGTATATTTTAAACACTTGGTCAGTATTTTCAAATTGCATGCAGAACGAATTCGTCAGTTTACACATTTCACTGGGTGTATATGGGAATGTCTGTTTTCTAACCTCCCCAACTACTGATTTATTTAAATCTGCGTAACTGACAGTTAAAGAATAGTGCTCTCTTAATAGTTTTAATGTACATTTCTTGTAGGATAAGCGGTGATGAACTTTTTAATGTCTTTTGCCATTTGCTCCTTTGACCAGCAGAGCTCATCACTTTAGAAAGGAGGGCTGCTCTCTCGGAATCCCGGGAATCACAGCCTGCGGCTGCTCAGAGAATAAGACGGCTGCTCTGTGACGGTAACAATCCGTCTGATTCTCAGGTACTCCCACAGGGTGCCATCCTCACTGGTAAGAACAGCAGGGAGCGATTCAATTGTACCTTTCTCCTGGCAGGTTCTGCTCTCGCTGCACCATGACCCAGGAAACTAAGGTTTATCTTTGGGATTCTAGGAACTTAGGCACAGGCTCTCACTGCCACCACCTCCACTAATGTTCACCTTCTCCAGTTAGATAGACACCCAATCTGCCGCCGCTTACCTTCTTCCGTTGGGGACGCCACCTCCGTTGCAGCTCACCTTCTCGCATGGAAGACTCCACCTCCACTGCCGCTTACCTTCTCACGTGGAAGACGCCACTTCCGCTGCAGATCTTCTCCCGTGGAAAAAGCCACCTCCGCTGCCGCACGCCTTCTCCCATGGAAGACGCCACCGCGGAAGACGCCATCTCCGCTGTCGCTCACCTTCTCCCGTGGAAAAAGCTACCTCCGTTGCCGCTCGCCTTCTCCCGTGGAAGACACCACCTCCACTGCCACGCACCTTCTCCCGTGGAAGACGCCACCGTAGAAGATGCCACCTCCGCTGCCGGTCACCTCCCGTTGGAGACGCCACCTCCGCTGCCACGCACCTTCTCCCGTGGAAGACGCCACGGTAGAGGATGCCACCTCCTCTGCCGGTCACCTTCTCCTGTTGGAGACACCACCTCTGCTGCCTCGCTTTCTCTTTTTATAGATCCCGCCCCCTCTGACGTTTACTTCCGGTTGGAAACCTCACTTCCGCTGACGACAATCTTCTCCCTTTGGAGACCTCACCTCCACTACCGCTTATATTTTTCTATTAGAGAATCTTCAAGTTTTTTTTTATTTTGCACCCCTGCTGGCAAACAGGTTTCAAGCATGTTTTTCCAATATATGTCCACCAATAAAATCTATGTGTGTACTAAAATACTAATGTATTAAATACATACACACCTATCACATGAGACTCAAAATTTTAAAGGGTAAGATTAAAAAGATATACTCAACTGGCAGCTCCAACATTCCTTCTTGCTCAGTGATATTTCTTTTGGGGGTCCCCTACCTTAGAGCTTAGGGCTCTCAGTTATTTGTAGCAAAATGGGTTGTCTCCTGTCTGAGCACAGTTCTTAAGCGAGTCAGACTTCACCACTGACCAGCTGACTGTATGGGCCAGTACTTCCCGTGGGGTGCCATACAAGGCCTAAACTGTTGTTCAGTAAACTGAAACCAGTGCTCTTTGATGCAGACTTTACATACCAGCCAAAGCCAGAGCAGTGAGAGAACTGGCAGTCTCTCCCATTCTTCTCAGCCTCTCCTGCCTCACACTCAGTGGCTGGTCCGCTTATTCAGAGACTGCAGTGACGTTTGAGCAAAGAAAAAGCAGCGGCAGCAGCCGAATCAAAACCTGCCCTGTGCAGTTAGAGCTTGCATCACATTGATTCAATTAAGTGAAATATTTACATCACATCATACTGTGTACACATGTAATCATAGAGAAACACTCACACAAAATAATGTAAAAATTTAACTGAAACAATAAAAGAAATAATAGTATTCGAATATAAGTTTTGAGGCAATTTCTTTATAGTAAAATGTAACACCAAATGCTTTCATGGAAATAGCTTTCTCTAAGGAAAGAGGAAAAATCCTTCAATACATTTTAGTTGAAACTTTGGGGGAAGGTGCTGTATTTGAAAGGGCGAGGGGCTTCGGGGCCAGACACCTGGATTTGAACTAGCTTTTGACCCAAGCTCGCCGTATGCCAGCAGCGTGACTTCTGACATTGAGATTTTTGGTCTATGAAAAGGGGATAATAATCCCCTTACCTTATAATATTATGAAAATTAAACCACAGAATGCCTACTAGCCATTTTCTATGTGGTAGCTACTCAGTAAATGTTTGTTCACTCTGAGATAGGATAGTAAGGCAGTAGGACAGACAGTTCCTTCACAAATGGAATGGGGAAACTGAGACAAGAAAATTAATCCAGATCAACCAGTTTGAGCAACTTACAGCCCTTATCTCCCCTAACCAAGGACACTTGAGAACAAGTAATGTATACCTCTCCTCCATAACTAGAGAATACATAGCTGAAATCACCCTGGTCTGGGGACTTCCTTTGATACTTCTCCTTGTAGTTGTGAAATACCACAGTGTCCAGGGAAGGGAAGAGAAGGGAAACGTAGAAGCTGCCTACAAGCATAAGACCCCTAAGAAACACAAGATAAACAACTGTCTTTCGGTGATTTTATTCACAGGACTTAAAGAAGGAGGAAAACAAGACCAGGGTGCACCTTCAGGGAGAAAAGAACAACCATTCTTCAGTGCCTGGCAGCTACAGAAACTCACACCAAAACTGAAAAGGCTTCCCGCCCCTTCTCACCCCAATAAAAGGCCTGAGCACTCCCAACGCAGGCGACTCTCTGGGTCTGATTCCCAGAGTTGCCACCCTCTGCAGAGTTGAAATAAGTCTTATTTTCATTATCGGCGTCCCTGAACTAAATTCTTTTATTTCGGGAGACAAGAACCCAAATTGATTCTGGGTTTGTTTTGGTAATGAGTCCTCCCTCATCTTTTTAAGACAGGCATGCAAATTTCTTTCATCCCTGCTTATGTCCTAACTTCAAAGCTTGCCTGTTTCAGCATTAATGATGTAGAATGGTTTTCCACCAGCTGCTTTAACTACCGAAAAAAGTCTTAAATTTGAAACTTCTATTGGAAAAAGTCTATGTTCCATTTGATCATTTCTAAGTCTCTAATGCAATCAAATGGGTTTACTTGTACTACAAGTTAGTGGACACAGCCTCGGGTAATTCCATAATGTGACAGTCATCAGAATTATTTTTAGCATCATTAACTGATTTTTTAAAATTATACATAACTATAGTGTTCCAGAAATCACATGTACAGCAAAATGCAGATTCACACCTGCTGAAAAACCTGCTTTAGGAGAAAGTTTCTCCATTCAGCTCTTTCTGTTCAGCTTTTCCTTGCTCCTTATTCAGTTCTGTAAACACAGGCTTATGTTTAGCTCCCTGCCCCACACCTTCATTCTCCATGTGCCCTTCTGAAAACATCTCCAATTAAGGAATTTGCAGTAGTTCATCTCTTGGAGAACTATTGCAGGTGTGAGTGAGAGTTGTCTGCCACCACTCTCAGTCATCACAGCTAAATCAGGAATCAAGGAGGCCTGTGACAGACATTTGCCTGCCACATAGTTCTCCCAGTATTTTGGAAAACTTGCTGACGACCAGAGAGGGTCAAGGCTGGTGACTGTGGAGGTCTGTTTCATCTCCCCTCCCCGACCTCCCTTGCTCTGTGTGCAGAGGATGTGGACAGCCAGAGAATGGGAAGCGCTGGCTCCCAACACCACAGACTGAGGTAACGAACACAAACTCCCCAGGCACAGGGGAGGCCAGAGCTTCCCAGCCAGGTGAGGGCCCTCACCCCAAACTACAGGTCTTTGACGAGCTAACCTTCCTAACCTTCGCTGGTCACCCTGCAGGCCTCAGGCTGCTCCTGCTCTCAGGGAAGTGTGGATGAAAAAGGGGCCACGTACTAAACCTGACCGGCTCAAGGGAGACCCACATGGCAGGCCTCACCAACCCAGAGACCAAGAGTAACCACTCACAAGGGTCTGAACGTAAAAATTTCCAACTCACAGTGAGTCCTGGCAGGTACTCAGGCACTAGGCCTGTAGCTTACTTGTCAAGGGTCAATCACTACCCCAAGTGAGCCTGTCTGTTGTCATCTTGCATCTGAGATAACATACCTTTGAAAAGTCACAGTGTCTCCAGCTCCAGACCCCTCAGGGCAAAACCACCAGCACCAGAGCGATGAGACCACAGAACTGCTCTTTGTTATCTTGATCTCTGAATACCATCTCTCTGAGCTGTAACTGTTAATTATTAGCTAAACGTTACCCACCACTGTAAAAGAAGTCTCTTCATTTTAGGCTTTATCCAATTCCACGGATTTCTCTACTTTGCTTTCTCCTGCACCCTTTAATCTACCACTGATGGATTTCATGGAACCCTCTTTCTGTCTCCCTCTTCGATTCTAAAGTACAAAACAAGCTGCAAAACTGCCATTCTCAGGAGCATTTTCCCACCCACTGAGATTTTGCCTCCCTTCAATTGTCAGTTTCACTCAAATAAACTCAGGAAACATCTCTACGGGTTTGGATGCTCCTTGCATTGACAGAAGAAATTACTCACACTTTACCAAAAGGACGAGATGAGAGAGAAGAAGGATTTTGGAGTCAGTGAGAGACCCTGGAGTCTCTCCCCTGGCGCCTGGGCATTACCCTGGGCCTTGGCCTCCTGGTCTCTGAGGAAGTTAACAGTCAACTCTGTAGGGTCACAGACGTGCATGGCACCTACCAGGCACTGGATATGCCATGATCACACCTCAGCCACTGGCCCGGGCACTCTGCTGGTCACCACTGTGTGCCCAGCTCTCTGCCCTCTTCCTGAGGTTAGCACCTTTCTCACCAGCACATCCTGGGTTCCCTTTCAGTTCTTTATCTTTTCAGTCTTTTGCTTTCTTTGCATGGTTTTTCCTTCCAGTTGAATTTCCCAGTAGACAGTGAGTTCTTTTTTTCTTAGTAGCTTGGCTTCCACAGTCACTAAATGTTACCATATTTACTTCCCTTGAACTAAATAAAGCCTCTTGAAGAAAATCCCCACAGTCAGGAAAGGGAGCCAGGTGTTCTCTGTTAGATTCTCCTTCAGCCTTTGGCAGCACTGGGGCCCCTGAGGGCCAGGCTGGTGAGGAGCGCTTCCTCGCCCCCCTGGGGCTCCCGGGCTGTCACCGCAGCCTCTCTGCCCTCGGACACACTTTGGGAAGACTCCTCTCCTGGACGTGTGGCTCACTCAGCCTGTCCTTTCCCTCCTGGGACCAGGCCCGCGCTCTCCCCTGCTCCTCTGCGATGGAAGAATCCCACAGTAGGGCAGCCTTGCTCCTGTGTCCCCTGTAACCCAGCTTGGCTTTGCCTGAAGATATGAGCCTGCCCATCCAACTGCTTCCCTCCTAAATAATAAACGGGATATTTTGCCTTCAGCTTTATTCACTGTTTTGTTCCTCACATGGTTTAGAACCTGTAGAGGAAAAAAAAAGAGATGCTACTTACTGGGTCCCTCTCAGATCCCCAGTGCTGTGTCAAAGGACAAAGCTGGGTGGGGCTAAGTAATAGGGAGACTGTGGCAAACGGAAGACAGTGAACTGTGCAAAGAGAATAGTCAGCTCAGCTCCAGCTCATTGCTGTCTTGTGGGCATTGGGCCCTCCTCCTTCTCCTAGAAATTTCCAAATTTCAAGGAGAGCCAGAGCTCTGGATTTTTATCTGACATCTCCATACCTTTAAAGGTTGCAGCCAACTAAACAAACAAATCGCCAAAACCCCTTAGTGGGTGTGGAACAAATTAAATTTATCTGTAGGCCAAGGCTGCCCGCAGGCCGTCTGCCCGGACCCGCAGTCCTGCATCCTCCCTGGTCACACCTGCATGTCATTCCACATCCATCATCCCGCCAGGAAAACTTCCTACGTCCCATCAGGGAAAGTGAGTCCCAGGTGCCCTGTGTCACCTGAGGAGGGGCACTGCTGTCAGTGAGTGAGTAACTGTGGAACTGAAAGTCAGCAACTTTCATTTGATGATTTACTGCTTTTTGATTTGGCTTTTGGTCTGGCTTCCTTAAAATGTAACACACCTTTAGAG